ACAATATGGTCACCCAACACTTAACAATAGCCTCTACCTCAAGAGGTAGAGTATCCAAATGTCTGGCTCACTGCTGCCAACTAGTGGTCAAGAGGCTGAATTACAACATAAAAATGAACGGCTGGCAGGAAAGTTGACATTTTAAACCTTAATTAAAAAATGACTCAGGACTTTAGAATATCGATACAGTATCAGAAAATGGAATATCGCGATATTTCAGTGTATTGATATTTTCTTACACCCATAGTATTATACTATGTTGTATCCGTATATAAATTACTGTAATATTGCTTGGGCTAGCACCCATCCAACCAAACTGGAATCTATTTTTCGACCTCAGAAGCGAGCTTTAAGAATAATATTTTGTGTAACTCATAGACATCCCTCTCAGTCACTGGTTGGTCAGGCAAATATTCTTAGTGTTTAGTAAGTAAGTACGTACGAAAAATTTTATTTATAAAGCACCTTTCACAGAAATGGAATTCACAAGGTGCTGTACAATAATCAAAGTGAATCAACCAAGTGTATCAACTTCAAATTGCTTTATTTGTTTATAGTTCTATAAAAAAGTTACTTCTCCAGCATTTTTGTAACATTTTTACTTTTCATAACAAATTTCACCAGTATTCAACTCGTAGAAATTGTCTTATTAGACCTCCTTACTGTGGTACAACTCAGACACAGTTTAGTGTTTTATTCAGAGGGTCACAGTCATACAGGACCTCTCATGAAGTTTCCAAACTGATTTTTAATCGAAGAATCAGATTGTTAATTTAAGTTGTTCTGGTTTCCCTTATAGGTTTGATTACTGAAAGCTTTTTTTTTTTTTTTTTGCTGTTTATATAGAACAGTGTTTTATTTTTTGTAATGTACGGATTTTTTAAATTTATGTAAGTTTTGTTATTTCTTTTTTCGGAGATTGCCTCTTGTCAAGCCCCTTGAGGGGTTTTTTTGTTTGGCAATTCTCCTTCACATTTGTTTATTTGTAATATAATTATGACACTTACTATTCTTTTTTGTTTTATTTTATTTTTCTCTTATTTTATGAAATTTTTTATTGTAAAATAAAGATATTAAAAAAAATCCACACAAGTGAGGAAAATCGTGACTTTACTGCGACCAATATCGTCATCTCATTACTAAACATTAATTTCACAGATTTTAACCCTACACTTCAGTGCATTACCTCCATAAATACTAGGGCTGTGTATTGGCAAGAATTTGGTGATACGATACATATCATAACAGAGGGGTCGCGATACGATATATCCCGATATATTGCGATACTGTAAGCAAGGCGATATATTGTGACACATTGCGATTTTTTTGTCCAAAAATTCTATTAAA